TAGTTGGCTTAAGGGAATATGCAACATGGGGATTTTAAGAGTTCCCAGCTATCCATATGTTTGAATATTCCAACGATCAATATTGATGGTTAAGGTTAAGGGAATTTCTCCATCATTGATCAACAAACTCAAGGATTCAGGAGTGTTAATCAATATGTAATAATATAACTGGTGATAAATTGGACATATATAATTACTAGGGCGAGATATGATAGGATAATATAGGATACAATGATAATTGATGTCTATAAATGTCTATGTATCGGGTTGGTTTGTAGGGGAAAGCCAAAAAGAAACCCATGGGTTTTACCATCTACATGCCGGGTATACCAATGGAAAAAAATGTGACAAGCTTCAATGGGGCATGGCTTACCATAAAATTTACCAGCAATTTCTGGTCCTGCTATTGAGTTTCTTGAAATAGGGCTACCCCATAAAATCGTCAATATTAATAGGATTTTCCATTATAAACATATTATATAAACCAACCATTTTTCCAGTATAAACCAACCATTTGGGGTACCCCCATCTATGGAAACCTATTTGGGGATGGTTTACAGTAGCTTGACCACCGATTTTTGGCTCAAAGTCGTCCCAGCGCCCAAAACAATGCCATTTTTACCACCCATGACTGGGAATGGGATTTCCATATCACCTATATATTTATGGATATTTATGGTGATGACTGGGGGATGGTAAACATGACATTGTTTTACCCTCTGGTAAACTAACATAACTATGGAAAATCACCATTTTCAATGGGTAAATCCACTATAAATCACCATTTTCAATAGCTATGTTAAATTACCAGAGGGTACATTACAATGTCTATAAATCTATGGTTGTATCCTCGATGGATTCCCAACTGGGATATCCCTTTGTGGCAGCTCGGGTTTCCTGACCTTCCGACGCCCAACGGTCCTGGTTTTTGTCACGAAGGGAATGGCGATTTTGGGGGAACCAAGTGGAAGGGGGTTGATGTAGAGGTGAAACAGATACTTACACACGTCTCTATATATAATTATTAGTATATATATATATACCGATCTGCCAATGAATCCATCTATCCATCTATCCATCTATCCATCTGTCCATCTGTCCATCTGTCCATCTGTCCATCTGTCCATCTATCCATCTATCCATCTATCCATCTATCTCTAAGTTGTGGGATATTTCCAACTATTGTAGATTGCACTGATTGTTATCAAATCAGTGTAGAAATGTCGAAAATAACTGACTAATGGTCGACCAGGGGCCAGCTACTTGGATGTCCATGGCATCCCATGTGTTGCTTCTTAATCCCCAGGTTTTGTTCGCAAAATCCTGATATTTCATAAGACCAGAAAATTCGCTGGCTAGATCACCTTGAGTGACCATTTTTTTTGTGAGACTATTTCTTGGAAAAATGCTCCAATGACCCATGTGTTCGGCCGAAATGACCAGTTTTGGCTGAGTTTCAATACGTGTTCCCGGATCATTAAGCAGCATTAAATGGAGGCCTAAAATAGGGCTACCCCTATTTTAATCATCCATTTCTAGATCGGATTTTCCATGAAATCAACCATCCAGCTATTAGGTACCCCTCGGAGTATTGAACCCAAGTTTTCTCAACGGGATCATCCAACCATCGCCCAGTTCTCCTGGAGCATGTCGCACCAGGCACGTCGGAGGTTCACCAAGTCCACAAGCATCTGTTTCACCTGGGACGCAGGGATGGCTAGTCCAAAGTGGAGGGCTTCAATGGTCATTTGATCAAAATGGCGGTTGGGATGAATATTATCAGTGCAACTTGGATTTTGTTTGCTCCAAAATACAGCATAACACTGGAAAAGCCAATAGGATATCCCTGGAATGTGACATCATTCCATCAAAAATTCTGGCTGTTTAAGAATGGGATTCCCTGTTCATGGATGATGATAATCCCCAATGTATGTTATATACATTATATATATATATACACATATCATATATATATATATACATACACAATATATATATATATACATATACAGTGTATATAGAGAGAGAGAGGTATTATAAACCTATATAATCATCAACCAGCAGGGGTTTTGAACATATTCAATGGGATGATCGGTCGCGGGTCGTGGAATTCTCAACATTGGTTCTACAGTCTATCGAACCATCCATCGATAAAGGGGTACCCCCATGACTTTTAGGAAACCCCCATAGAGGTTTAACATGGTTTAACGGAATCATAGTGGATACTATGGAACATGAAGACTGTGAGCTTGGAAAATCTGGCAATGAGTCAAAAATTGAATTGCTGGGCAACACAAATGGAATTCAACCAACAAATGTAAAGTACCTAGAAAGGCACACTCTCTTTTCCATTATTCCAAATTTGCATGGTTAAATACTCAGAATGAGCAACATGTGTGACCCCCACTTTGTGATTTTTATCTGTATAGACCACCCAAGAAAGACACTCTCAAGCTTACGATGAGGAATGATGAGGGTGTATGGTATATCGTTGTTAGATATGTTGGGGATGGTCCTATGTGTCAACAAAAAAAGCGGATCATGTCAGAGATTGTTGGACCAACTTTCAAAAAACAAAAACGGATTCGCCGAAAACAAAGAGGAGAGAAGAAAAACCGAAGTCAATGGATTGGACTTGCAAAGCTTTAAAAAAAAAAAACGAGATTTCAGCCGCAAAACGTGAGATTTGAGCTGCAAAAATGGACTACCATTTTGGCTGGAAAAAACAACAACTTTTAGGATCTTTGGGCATCAAACCACCCATCTTTAAGGGATTGATCATGTTGACTCATACCGAAATTGGTTTTGACTGAAAAAAGAAAATAGGGCACCACAAGATCCAATGATCTACAATATGTATCAATATGTTTCCTGATTGCATAGGGGTAACTTTGGAGTCTCTCCTCCATTTCCAGAGGTTGAATCCCATTGTTGATTTCTAAATATCACATGTGGCTGGTTCAATACCAATTTTGGTAGTCGAAAAATCCAGTTTTGGAAAAAAAAAAAAAACCTAATATCATATCATATCCTGATGATATTCTCATGCAATCACATGTTCAGTCTACTCCCATTATATAATATGATACGAGTATCATTACAGCTACGCAAATCCCCAATCTGGCGCTGGTCCAGCAAAAAACACTTTTTATGATCGCCCAATACAAAACATAAGTTCAAATGCTTGACAACATCCAGTCCTGGATTTAGACATCCATTTCGAACATGCAAAAAAAAAAAGAAAATCCCAATATTTCGGATACCATCTGGTTATTTAAACCATCTATTTCTATGGGCCATGGCTATGTTAGTCATGAGCAGAGGGTAAATCCCAACAAAACCCGTTGGGTCGGGCTGTGCCGAGCGCACCAGCCGCGCATGCTCGGCGCGCTCCGGGCCACTACTGGAGACACTCTCGGCTAAGTCCTGCAGTGCTACTTTTTTTTGGCCATGGGGAGGTTGAAAAACCCCCAAGAAACAGGTGATTTAATGGAGATTCTAGCCGGAAAAACTAGGGTTTAGTGATGTTGATAATGGTTTGTAAAGCTCAAGATGGAAGTGTCCATGGATTCATTAAATGTTTCTTGCAGGAACAAGTGGTTTTGACGCTAGAATTGATTTTGTGGGTTGACAAAAACTGTCCTCAACCAATTCTATGAACTGTCCTTCAAAAAATGCGAAGCAGTTGGGACCCTCATCTCAGAATAATACCATATATATATGACATAAATGAAACAGCAACAGTAGCCAATATGGATATAACATGATATAACCCCGAAATAAGGCATTCCAAAGGACCCACAGAATGCTGTCTGTGAATGTTATGATCATCTGAGTCCGAAGGTTTGTCCCTTCCCCACCGAAAGAAGGGATGCCCATAGATAACACTAAAATAAGGGGCGATGAATTGGGGGGTGTAACTAAGAGATAGATAGATAACTACAGCATATAACCCAACCAGTGTTTTTTAATTTAGTTTAATCCTGGATATATAATTACCCCTTTTGAGCAATAATAATCATTGGAATCCATAATTTTATCAGGGTTTTGGGGTGTTGATGTGGGAAGGGATCAGCAGCAACAAAGGGCAACCAACAGTGTGTCCAAGAATGATGGTGAAATCTGCACTTTTTCGGATGTCAACCAACAATTTGTATGGTAAACACAACGGATAGAAGTACCCTCTGGTAAACTAACATACCTATGGAAAATCACCATGTTTAATGGGTAAATCAACTATTTCTATGGCCATGTTCAATAGCTGTGTTAGTTTACCAGAGGGTAGACAACGATAAAATTCAAAATCACCAGCAAAGGTGAACTGGGGAAAATTATCCCCGGCCAGTCATAGGGATGCAACCAACAACCGATGGTGGTGTAACGATCAAAATAGGAAGCAGCCAACAATGGGCAGCAAACACCAATCATTGGAAAAATGATGGAGATTTTGTATTGCCCAACTTAAAATATAAATTTTGACATCTCAATTAACAATACTTTTTATTGCATACTCAAGACTTGTTGTTCTCCTTTTATTAACATGATATAATCTTAAGTATAGTTATTATTTTTTGCTCGCAGGACCTTGTATGGCACAAACTCCGGAATGTAATTATTGGTGGTTAACCTAACCTCAAAAAGATTGTAGCTTAGCCAACACATTGCCTATTTAAACCAGGGTTTCGAGGTAAGCAGCAAATACGAGGACCTGATGAATTGAGATGTGCGTTCAACCAAGGAAAATAGGATGTACTAGCCAACAATCATAGGGGCATAGTACCCCTTTCAGCCGTGGTTTGTTCAGAATCCAGATTCTCTGAAGCCAACGTAAACCTCAAAACATATCGATCATCAGCATGTCATTGAACTTAAATGGAATGTTTATTCAACCAATGAACCAATGTCATTCAGAGCGTCAACGTGCCGCTGCTTTGAGATAACAATGAACCCATAAAACCAGAGCTCTAAGCTTTCAGGTGTTGATCCAGATCACACAATCGGGGAAAAGGGTGAAGACCTCCCCAACTTGGTCAAAACCATTCTGTCCAGCAATTGTCCAGCAAAGTCTTTTTTAGTTGACCAACATTAAACGTTCCAAAGTCATGGGGGTTTCCATAGTCATGGGGGTACCCCAGTAGCTGGCTATGAAAAATCCGATGAAAACGTGGATGATAACTGGTGGGTAGCCGGGTAGCCCCACTTTAGGAAAGCCCCCAATGTAGGCCATGTAGTTGCGGTAGGGGCACCCCAACAGCTGATTTTGGTCAAGAACTGGATGGGGAAACCCCATTCTTCAGCATCAAAAAACTGGTGAAATCAAGTCGCGACCTTTGGTATCCAGATTGCCACGGAAATAGATATGTACATGTGTATATATATATATATATGATATAGCTGAAATGATTGTAGAAACATGATCCAAACATGGAGATTTCAGAGAGATACTCTTCCTCTCAAAACTGGTGCATTTCCACTTCGGTGCAGACTCCAAGCCTCCAGAAATCACCAGGTGCCCACATAACAACCACCCGGCCCGACAGCGCCTTCATTTTCTGCTCGGTCTGATCTAAGAAGGCGAAATCCTGGGAGCCAGGTCAGGGTGACTGGGTGACTCGCCTGGAGTTTTTCCTTTTGTTTCCTGGCAGACTTTAAGGCTGAACTATGATAATGTGGCTGGTCTTCTCACCGAAATATGATGGTGTATATATATATATGTGTGTGTGTCGGTGTATATATTACATAATTGGGAAATCATGTGGTAAATAGGGCATGTTAACAAACAGAGGTTCTATGGAAATTAATCCACTATGAGGGTGTACCAAAGACAACTCAGAAATTGTGAATGGTTGAAAGTATTAGTTGAACTAGAAAACCTGGTTTTCATGGGAAATACAACCACTATTCATATCTATATTATATGATATTGTATTATATTATATTATATTTTATTGTATTATATTATATTATATTGTATTATATTGTATTATATTATATTATATTATATGGTATGGTGGTTTCTTAAAATGGGGCATCCGCAAAACCATGGGTTTCAATACTAAGATGGTCTAATGACTTGGATGATGCAAGTGGGATCCCCCATGACTTACGAAGCCTCACCGGAGGGCATGGTCCTGAGCCCACACCGGCGTGGCTTTTCCCATCATGAACTGGTGCCGGTTAAGACTGGTGAATCCAACAGATACCCTGAGGTAATGTTAAACGTGGCAATTGAAAATCCACCATTTAGTTTCGAAAATAAATTCGCAGCTATAACTTCCAGGCTACTGTCTCTTGTCAAATGCCTGGATTTTGAACATCAAAACTGGGTGAGTTTAACCCTCAAACCTCAGAGATTCAGCCCAAAACGGCCAAAAGAAGTGACGATTTACTGCCATGGGCCATGACTGACCTTGGATACCCTGCAAAACAGAATGATGGAATTCTATGCATAAATTTAGTGCACACACACACACAACACATGTGTCACATGTGTGTATAATTTCATATTTTTCTTAAGATCTTTTACATCCTGGAAAATGTACAAATCATCACACACACACACATACAAGGCCACATATATATATATATATACTAATATTGGATATATGAATATCATTCAAACATACATGGACCCCCTCACATTCACCCAGCACCCAGCACCACAACCGAGGCACCGCGTCGCGGGTCTTCATGTGATCCAGGAATCCTTGAGTCGCTTGACTTGCGCGACGATGGAAGTACCTGGAGGGCTGCTGTGGTTTCACCAGGATCCAGGGGGTTCCGAATTCTCCATCCAATGGGGTCCAGTTCTGGGAGAATCCAAGAATCCAGTGATCGCGTTTTTGGCCTCACATCGTCCATCTGGAACAGTTTCCCCCCTACAATTGGTATTTCCCAGGGATCCTCAGCATCCAAAATACACATGTTTTTTTCATCATACACCACGACACGATATGTGACAATTCATCGGTATTTTACACGGATTACAAGAACCCACACAATGGTGTGGGGAAAATTCACCTGGAGATCCATTCGTCATAGAAATACAAGTACCTCCCCTTGCACGGTGTCGCTAAAGCTGACAGGCCACAACCTACATGCCGGTTCGGTTCGTGACAGTGGCGGACGCGTTCTGGTCCGGGTTGATACGGATCCAGCACTGAGCCTTTGTCCGCGTAAAGATCTGAGAGGTCTTTTCGCGTAGTCCGAAGCGTTGGTCCCCCCCCCCAAGCTCCAGCAGGACCACGTGCTTGTCGTTGCCAACGCTTTGCGCAGCTGCTTCGATGGCTTCGATCGCCTTTGGGTTCTTCGTTAGAAGTACCACTTCGAGGCAATTGATCGCCTCTGGGTTCTTGGAATTTTGAAATCCCAGCATGAAAGGGGTTCCTTCTGATGGGGAAATACTGGGAAATAGTTAACCCTATGAAAATTGATTGATGACCAACCCCCTATACGGGTTAATTTCCCATGTGTGTAAGTATGTGTGTGTATGTGAATATATATATATATATATATATGCGCAAACCTTGTGTCTCGCCATCGCCTCGAACGGCAACGCGCGTGTGTGTGTGTGTGTGAACTGTTGGTGTATGAAGTTCGCTTGGTCAATCAATGAAGGACTTTTTTCAGATCTCTTGTTCGGATACAGAGCGCACCATCAATTCAAAATATATCGAATTCGCGTGTCGATAAATTAATTGCTTGTTCATTTCGCTCTTAAACCCTATTTCATTGTCAGCTCATTTCATGTTTAAAAACAAGAACCACAAGAAGGTGTATTTTACGTTCGCGTCAACGAATTTATCCACACAACGTTCGGCGTTTTTAACGCCGAAAAAAATCTCTTATAATCAGAACCATGCATTACATGTGACAGTTTGGAAGTTCTGCAAACACTTGTTTGAAAGTTTTTCCCCACCTGCCAGGTGAGGGTTGTTAGATTTTATGTGATTTTATAAGAACACTTCTCCTCCTTCTCCTTCTTCTTCTCCTCCTCCTCCTTGCCAACTCCGATGCCATTAGGCACTGCCGGGCCTCAACTGCCAGCCCTCTATCAAGTTGTGCCTTACAGAACATATGCCATCAAGATTGCCAAATAGAATGTCAGAAAATGTGCCAAGTAGAGTGTCAGATAGAACGCCAGATTCAACAGCGAGGCCTCTTGATTTCCTCAAAGTTATCCTTTCCTCTTCTTTCTTCCCAGCAAGATATGCCAGAAACAATATCACAAGACCCGCCAGAAAATATGTCAGACTGATAAGTCACGGCGGGGATCACTCGAAGTAAAATAATTTGGAGCTTGTGGTTTTTTATGACCGTTTTATGATTCTCTTATGGTTTTCTGAGCACAGCCATAAACAAAAATGCAAAAAGAAACCCATAAATTACACCACCGTAGACCCCAAACAGTGGGTGGATTCAAGAAGTGTTTTGGGAACAAGGTCAAACACATGAAACAGCAGCAGCAGGATTAATGAAAATATTTGCAAAAAGTGCCACAGACCACTTTGTGTACGATTATTTTGTTCGGCTTCGCTTGCTTTGTTGCAACGCTAGATGCCAAAAAACGACGAAGGAAGCATCCGATGGGGAAACAAGGGAGAGACAGGCTGGGAGACAAGCTGGGAGACAAGCTGGGAGACAAGCTGGGAGACAAGCTGGGAGACAAGCTGGGAGACAAAAGAGACAAGACCGTAGGAAGGTGGACGCACCTCCAACAAAGGGAAACAAGAAGGAAGACAAACTGGTGCGCACGCTGGAGACAAACGGGACAAGGACTCGGGAAGGCGGACATACCACCCAACAAAGGGAAACAAGAAGGGAGACAAGCTGGGAGACAAGGCCTCGGGAAGACACGCGCACCATCCAAGAAAGGGAAACAAGAAGGGAGACAAGCTGGGAGACAAGGGAGCCAAGGCCTCGGGAAGGCGGACACCAAAGGGAACAAGAAGGAAAGACAACCTGGCAAGCTGGGAGACAAGCTGGGGGACAAGTCCTCGGGAAGGCACACCATCCAACAAAGGGAAACAAAAAGGGAGACAATGGGAGATAATCCAAAGCAAGGGGACGGCAGACGCACCATCCAACAAAGGGAAACAGGAAGGGACACAAGGGGAGACAAGACCTCGGGAAGGCGGACTCACATGTGGGGAGACAGTGACAGACAATTGGAGGCAGTGGGAGACAAGACGGGAAAGCGGGCATACCATCCAACAAAGGGACACAAGAAGGAAGACCATGCGAGACAAGACCTCGGGAAAGCGGACACACCATCCAGGACAGGCGCACTTGTGGGGAGACAAGCGGAGGCAAGACCTCGGAAATCCAACGCAGGCACATATGTAGGGAGGACAATGGGAGACAGTGGGTCATACCATCCAAACACAGGCACACAAAAGGGGAGACTTTGGGAGACAAGCTATGGACGAAGGGGTTTATTGATGACCCAGGCGGGGGCTCTTCCCTTCGTCTAGTGGACACAAGCGGGGCTCCTTGGCTTTTGCCCTTCCCCTGCTATATGCAACGGATCTTTTCATCACAAAGTGCGTGGCAGGCACAATACATAGTCAAGTTTTTTCGGGTGAAGCAATTCTTCTGTATGTATTGCGGTTGTTTGGAGCCTCGGTCAAGCAATCAGCTTGTCTCTCATGTCATGATCTCTTTAGGAAATATTTTCTTTTGCTTCTTTAACATGCGTTGTCTTCGTCCAGGCAATGGAGCAAGCCTGCTTTTGTTGCAGGAGCTTTTAGGTCGATACTATAGTTATGCATTCTATAGTTATGCATTCTATAGTTATATCTTCATTAACATTCCATAGTTATGCATTCTATAGTTATGCGTTTATCTTACCCGCGAGAACTATATGTTGCTACTATTCAAGCCTATACCTAGATCCCCACTATTCCCCATTAATCCCCACTAATCCCCATTAAGACCACAAGTCAGATCGTTTTCGTTTGTCTTGCACGTTGCGCGTTTGGCTTGCACATACCACTGTGACAGCAACACCTTGAAGCAGCACCGTGCATAGCCAAAATCCGCCCATCGGTTCCATGCAAATCCGGCACTATCTTTAATGATGATCTCGAGCCGCATCAAACAACACAAAATATATATCAGCATGTGCATATATATATATATATGTGTGTGTATGTATATATATATATATATGTATGTATATATAAATATATATATCTACATATGAGTGCAAAAACAATTGCATTTAAAAATGTATCAATTTCAGATTGTTCTCAGGTCGCTTATGACAAATTGATTTATATAATAAGACACCTGGGTAGTCGGGAGCCTTATACGCGATATAGACAGACCCAATATATACATAGTTCTACATACATCTCGACAGATACATGCGCATACCGCGTTGAACCAAAGGGATGCTTGCTGATTCCGACCTTAGGATACTGTGGAAGAAAAATGCTTTGCGTGATTAATCGGTCTTTGTGATGTTTTGAAAAACACTACCTGTCTCCAATCCTAACCCCCCTCGGGCCTTCAAGAACTTCTCACGTCTCACACCATCACGGACGCAGTTTCACGTTTTTTTTAACAGTTTCCATGAACAAAACTACAACAGAACACAGATCCGAACATCTAGACAACCAGTTACTCCCAAGTACCCACCCGTTTATCATCTGAGTGCCGGACCGAAGATGACCATATTGACGGGGATATAGAATACCGAAGAGGACAATGTACTGATATGTAGTTCTCTACAACGAAAACGAAGACACCATCGAATAATACGTAGAACAATATCATCCTTCCTTAGTAAGACATGGTACCACACAAGTTGGGATATAGACATTTACAGTTAGAAATGCGTGTAAATAGACGTATCTCTATATTGCGAGGCCCTGCCTTCCAAACGACCTTGCATCAGACCTTACAGAACTATTCACATACAGATGTATACATATCATATCTACCGGGTTATGTACGCGCCGCTGTTTGAAAGTCAACTTCCTCGTTACGGAGAAAAAAAAACGTGGGTCGGAACCACGGGAGCAGGTCAGAACTGCCCGGAGAGGGAGTCAGAATCCCTAGGGGAGAACATTTTTTCGAGGATGGTATCTTCGTTTTGGTTTCTTCGTTTTCTTTTCCGGATCTTTCCCAGGTCAATCGACCAGTGCTGCAGCATCTCTGATGCGCAGAGGCATTCAGAGCATGCGCGTCCAATGCACATGCCAATGCACATGCACAGTCCGACAGTGAACAACGGCATCGACTGTTCTTTCCGTCGCTCAAACATAAAAAAAGATCATGTTTCTGCAAAACGTGCCCAGAGTTTTTTAAAAAAAACGCGCAGTGCTGGAATCTCAGGCGCGTGCCTTGTCGATGACGATCTCGCCGAGGCCGTGATGGGGCCGGCCATCCATCGAACCGCCCCGCCGCAGCGGACTGACTGTTTTTTCACTTGAGAAACGAAAACGGCTGCATTAAACATACCCAACGTCCCCGTGTCCTTGCCTGTTCTTACTTCTTCTCTCTTCGTCGCCCAGCTCCTGAGCGAAAGCATGGTTGAAAAGCTGCAAACAATTGGCCTGCATACAAGCACGGCCTTGGTTCATATATATATATACAGTATATATACATATATATATATATATGTACATTGAGAAAGTTCGAAGGGTGACAAGACAAGTTATGAAAATGACAAATGAGCATAGGAAGGTTAAGAGAATAACATGGTAAGCGCGTTGAGAACGTTATTATCGCCCCACCCCACCCTCCATCCCCCACCCACCCCACCCGAACCCACCCCCTCAAAATCCTCAAAACAAAAATAGACCTAACATAAAGGAGATATAAAAGGAAAAATGCGTCACGTTGAAAAGGGTAAAATGCATGTTTTTTAGCGTGTACGTGGAATAAAACGCGTTTCGCCTGCACGAAATAAGTTTGGACATTGACACATGACGTTTTGAGCGACGGCGAGACACAGGGTTTGCGGGCTTATATATAAGTATATATACCATTCATAGTAAAATATAGGATAGTACATATGTGTATTATATCTGGTCAAATTATAATATTTCAGGGTCTTTAGGTCGAATTTCGCTATTTCAAACTGAAATATGGTGACGTCGCGAAAATCGCGAAAATTTGCTGACGTCGTGAGACTAGGATGAAAGCAGGCACTCTGACAGGCGCTTCTTTTTTTGCTCATCGGTGGCATCGCTTGGCTAAAGTCAAGTCAGAGACAAAATTGTCCTGCTGCGGGCTGTTGAACGGAGCCTCTTCACCAGTCTCTTCCTGCGAGGCCGGGAAGTCGCAGAAAACTGCCGGCTAGTCAGGGGAATCGAGGCTACTTAGGGGGGAATCAAGCCCAGGAATTTCTAACGACGTCGTTTTTGGCATAGTCGGGGCTGAAAATGCCAAAAACGACGTCGTTAGAAATTCCTGGGCTCGATTCCCCCCTGGGTAGCCTCGATTCCCCCCTGGCTTGCCGGCAGAGACTTCCCGGCCTCGCAGGAAAAGACTGGTAAAAGGCCTTTCAACAGCCCGCTGCTGCAGGACAGTTAGTTTGGGATGGAGTCGAACCATGCAGTCTTAGAATACTACTTATGGGGACTAACGATGATTGTTGTAATTCTTGATTTGAGGTGTTGTAAATACGCAGCCCCTTAATTTCATACGAGTGTGTTGAACAATACTGCGTGCTGGGATATACTAGTCGGATAGTGGGACCAGTGATGGCTGTTGTAATTCTTAACTTGGGGTAGACATGAAAGACCTTATTTCAGAAGGTTAGGTCTAATTTCACGGTGACGTCGGGTGACGTCGCTATAATTTGGGCAGATTATATGTATATAAATATCCCATCCATGCCTATCCCATTCTATGCCCGTCAATCTCCCGTTCAATGCCCAGCAAATTAGATGAGAGCACTCCGCTGTCTCCGAGCATAGCTTGTGCAGCATCTGGCAACAAAGAAGTGCCGCTGTGGTACATAGGCTAACCACTATATGGTATAACAATGATTAACCAGTATTAATAATTAACAGCGGTTAGTATACTATAATGGTAATCATATAACATATACTACATTACTATATATCTGGTTGGTGATTTCAACCCCTCTGAAAAATATTAATCAGTTGGGATGATTATTCCAAATATATGGAAAAATAAAAAATGTTCCAAACCACCAATCAGATATGGTATATGTACCACTATTAATCATTAACAATGATTAACCATAATTAAAGGATTACTAGGTTGTATATATGGTACATTAACCATGATTAAAGGATTACTGGAAGAATGGGCATATGGGGGGGTTCCATAAATGGGGTACCCAACAATGGATGGATTTATAAGGGAATTTTAGGAAACCCCGGTTTATACATGTTTATAATGCTTAATAGTTGTTCATAATGGATATGAATGAAATTACCCTCTGGTAATCAAACATGGCTGGAAATCCCCGATGTTTAGAGCTGGGAAATCATCGAACGACATGGTAGAGTTTCCAGCACTGTGATTCCCGGAGGGTACATCTTTGCTACAGTTTCCCCGGGTGGTTTTCAAGGGGGAAGCCGCTAAGTTTTCCCCCATAAAAAACTACTAACTGTGGGATTTCAGGACAATTTTTGTCGACGGACTACGGATTCCTGGCTGAAACGCATGGCTGCAGTCGCTGGCCATTGGCGTCCGCTTTGCCTTCCATCACGATCCTCAGAATCTGATCGGCTGCCGACAAGCATAGCGCCCAGAGATACAGAGCTTCCCTGTGGCATGAAGCTTTCGTGCGAGACTTTCTTCAAAAACTACCAGTTGAAGTAGCTGCCAAAGCACATCGGATGCAGTTTTGGAGGCAGTAAGAACGCATCGGTGACCACCAAGAGATGTTTTTTCGGGATTCTCTGAAAAATGCAATGACAACCTGCGTGCCGACAGAAAAACGCGGCGAGTTTCGCCACGTGCGCCGCGAGGGACCTAGGTTCAGTTGGTAATTTGACTAGGGTTTATGGTAATATCTACAGTTAGATGGGTTTATAGACCAACTTACATCTGGGGGACACTACCTTGTAGTTGGGATCGACAGCACACGACCAAGTATTAGACTGTGCTCATCCTGTAGGACAGTGTAAGTTTCCTTCATTTTTGCTGATCATCAACCAACAGGGATTCACTGGCCATAAGACTGGTTGAAGCCTTCAAAAAGATCGGCTGGGGTTGTATCCTGGTTTGACCTCACTGAAGAAATTAAATGTTCTTCCAACTGCCAGTAAAAACATAGAATGCGCGCAGAACGGCGGCTCAACTCGTTCTTGATCGCTGTGAACTGAACCTGGAGGATTAGTCAATTGACCTGCAAACATGAGGCTGTTCATCTCTGCAGGGCAATTTCAGTAAACACGATTGATTTATTTGTTTATTTATTGTATATAATTTTGTTTGGGGGCAATGAAGTCTTAGTTGGACTGCGCCTAGCGTGAAACATGTCGTTTTTCAGCGCCAATAATTGGCGCTAAACAGGATACCATATTTGGGGCTCCCGAAGCCGTCCGAAGGGTACGGCTAACCCTCGAAATCAGACCCCAAATAGCATGATATCTCTTATACGGATACATATAATATTATGTATACATATAGAATTATAAACTATATATTATACAATATTATATACATATATACTCACAGAATCTCACATAGTGAATCTTAGAAAAAAATCGAATTCTTCGCTGGTTATTAACCATTATGGTTCCCTATGGACTCCACCAGTGTCACCTTCATCAAGGGATCCGATGAACCAGTCGTTGAAGCCTGGCAGAAAACATCGGGGGATTCCATGAGATCTGGGGCCACAGGGGATTTGATGAGATAGGATATATTACACAACATGAATCATGAATATTTATACATATTTATACCATCTGGTTATGACTAACATAGCCATGGAAAATGGAAAAATGGCCCATAGAAATAGATGGTTTACCTATTACAAATGGTGGATCTTTCCATGGCTATGTTAAATAACCAGATGGTATCTCTTAAATTCCTTCCCTGTACAATTTTCCATTGTATTTTTAGTACACGTTGTCAACTGCAGTGTCAGTGAGAGTTTGGCGACAAAGACAAAGTCATGCACTGTCGTGTTTGTTATTTAATTGTTTTGCGAACATGGAAGGTTCTGGCTCAGGCAGGGTTTTACCCTCCCGAACAAACAAACTATGGATCAACGCAACAAAGACATTGGGATTTCGAGCGACAAAAACATGGATTTGTGCATTTCGAGGACCCGATCCTGCGGACCCATCAACATGATTGACATTTGCTTCAGAACACCTTGAATTTTACCAGGTCAAATCCCCCATGTGGGTATTTCCTCAGATAGGGGGTCCCAAAAAAACAAGATCCAAAATGGCATCCGAGTTAATATCAACATGTTCAACCTGTTGGTTTAGGGTACCCAAAAAAAAAACATGGTTAAAAGCCTCATTTTGACCTTGACATTGCAGTTTCGTCATACATTGGAATCCCCCATGTTCCGATTTTGTGACATTCTATGGGCATCCCCATTTTCAGCCACGGCGAAACGAGAATGTTGATTATACCCCACTACATCCCCATGGTATCTCAAGAATATCCCCAGAAAATGGCTAGTCGTATGTCCTCAAAAAATATGACATTGTATCACCAGCAATATTGGTTGAATCTCTATATGCATAAAATCACCATGATATCACTATTTTCATCTCAAATGAGTTTCCAGTCTAGATGATTTCCCAGCTAACCTTCATTTCGTTGCTGAAATCCGTTGGACCAGCATTTTCTTTGGCTTATCACCATGAGATTCCCATATTTCTTAGTTACCCTCTGGTAAACTTACAAAAAACGATGTAACATCACAATTTTATAGCTGGGTAAATCAACAAACTAAATGGCCATGTTCTATGTCGCAAACTGTAACAGATTACCGGAGGCTATATGATTTTTGGTAGGTCATCTGATTTACCCCATGAATGAATCAAGTTGTTGGTAGATCAGTCAGATGAAATATCAAGCTTTTGGTGGATCATCTGATGTTATGGATTCTATACTACTAAATGTTAAATACCCTTTTGGTATTTCTGATTGTTGGATCCATTTTTGGTAGATAAAATCTGATGACCGGAGGCTAAATCCCCATGATCTTCCCATTTCCCCATCAACAAAAATCCACCTTGCTGGAGCGGCTTAAATCCTTCACCTTGGGAAAGTCGGAGTCGATTCAGATTCGAATGGGGTCATGGAACTATAGATATTACTATCCCATGGGAAATATCATATATATGCCCTCTGGTAATTTGGTACAGTGTGCTATTGAAAATGGCCATAAAAATAGTTGATTTACCTATTTTGCAGATGGTGATTTCCAAAGTTATGTTAGTTTACCAGAGGGTATATCCAACCATTATGACTAGAAAATATCATATCCCATGAAATATGGGTATGTTACTAGCCGTTACTATATTGGATATATTATTACGTAGTCTTGGATATGTTAATGTGGGAAAAACAATGCCATAAACCACCCATAACTGGGAATGGTAAACATACCACCTATAGAAATGGTGATTTGGGGGTGGTTTATTGTTGTTTTACCCACATTAATAGATAATCCAACAACAATGAACAATCATGGGCTATATGTAATGGATATAGATATAGATATGTAGTACATATAGTCATATAGTATAGAACAATAAGCCTGGTATGCCAAAGCTCGTATTGACAAATGTATTCAATGTAAAGTTTTGATATGTTTTGAAATGACTCCATCTGGGCACATCGTCATTCAAATTTGAATGAGTTATCATTATATAATATAACTGGACATGTAACTGATTACATGTATACTAAATACATATATATATATTCAACTATTAAATTGAATCCATAATATACTATATCATATGTTCCTTTTCAATTCATCATTGTATAGAACATGGCATGATGTGAAAATATAACGGGAGAAGAAAAACAAAATAATTACAAAACACATCTTCAGCAAATTAATCGTATGCTGGAGAACATTCTTTTGCCGGCGGTGATTTGTTACAGTTTGCTATTGAAAATGGCCATGAAAATAGTTGATTTACCTTTTTTGCGGATGGTGATGTTCCATCTTTTTCTATGTTTACCAGATGGTATATGCGGAGAATGACCATCAAGATCTCCATGATCCAACGACCCAAAATCCATCCAAAATCCCACTCGTAAAATGGCCAAACATTGATAATATACCATGATATACCACATAACTTCCACATCTAAATCCACGGAGAATTTCTGATGAAATCTCACGACCGCCATATTTGGAGGTCAATTCCATCAGCTGCGCAGCTGGGGCATTCCCACAATCTCCAAGCGCCGTTGGAAACGATCGCGCAGCTTCCTTCGCTCTGCCAACCTTAGGCGTCGAACCCGTACAGGATTCGAAAAAAGAAACGTTCCTAACAAATACATAAGATATATATATATATGATATATGTGACTATCAATAGTATACCTTGCAATACTAAGATACTATACAAATATGTATATATACATCTATGTATATATATACACGTATATTTATTCATAATTTATACTATGTATATATTCCGATATACTATAAACAAAAAATCGTATACTATCATATTGTGTATCGAACTGCGTATGTATATGTATATATATATATATACATATCATATATGAATACCTAGCAAAACATGTGGGCATAATTTGTCAGCTTCAGCTCCGACCGAGTCGCTGAGCTAGGATCTTTTGCTTCTCCTGGAGGGTGCGGTAAACGACCGATGGTGACGCTCGGGGAAACTACGCAAAAAGATGTGGAAGACCCATGGGGAAACCAAAAAGTGAGCCAGAAATGGTGGCTTTTCCACATCTATGTTTATAGGAACAAAACGATGTATATTTTGAAGGTTATTCATGGTTAACCATTGTAACCAGCTGTGTCCAGTGCACATCTTTGAGAGGTTCTTGCGATTGAAATGGGGTAAAACCAAAATATCAAAAAAAAAATGGACTTCCCGAAAATGATCCAAGAATCATGGTTTTAACACGTTTTCGATGGGAAAAGAATTGGAAAAAACGGTCCCCCATTTTAAGAAACCACCATGAGGGCCATCCCACCTGTCTCGTAAGTCTCCAATTCTCCGGCTTATCCTACCATTTGATTAAACAACAACTTGATCAAGTAACTAGTCAGTGATTCTAGTGACAAGAAGAGATATAACAGTCATTATAACAGCCATTTACTAAAGATACAAAAGTCATTATATCAGACATTTTTACTAGTAATAATTTATATAGTAGGAACCTGCTGATCTCTATATCTCAATTGCCAGGAGCCTCTGCAAACAGGGCTACACCGAACATCCACAGTCTCTGATTACGAAGATCTTCGTAAATCCCTGATGTTTACATATGTTTACTAGTAATCTTTGAAACCACCATCCAGTCAACCATAGATTGTCCCCATTGTATCCATTATATTCACCTTATAACCCCATGATACCACCATGTTTGGTGGTGAAAACATCCAGATACTTCAGTAGAGACTTCCTGTAGATACTGAATGGTTTGGAGCGAAAATCCCAGTTCATAGATCATGATATCTGTAGATATGTGTATATATATAGGGTGGTCGTGAACCCTCCTATCATCAGCAACCGGAAAGGGCTTTCAACACCCCTGAAAAAGGGGGAAAATGATGGTGAACCTTTGGAATTTGGGGTCATGCCAACTTGTATTCATAGAAAAAACAATGCTTTTTTATAGGGGGTCACCAATTCTTAATAATCTTCATGGTACATAGATTCTAGATACCCTCTGGTAAACTAACATAGCTATGGAAAATCACCATTTTCAATGGGAAAACTCACTATAAATGGCCATTTTGAATAGCTATGTTAGTTTACCAGAGGATAATTTCCATTGCAAGTGGTTCACCTTCATATTTTCATGCACGGGGTTTTGTTTATTCATCCTGGCTTGACTAAACCCTGGATTTATATCCCATGATGTTTCCACGATGTTCCCATTGTATCCCCACCATGTTTGTTTTTTGTATATCCCCATCACCAGACAAATCCCGAGTTGTGATCGGTGTTGAGAATCCTCTGGAAAATTCCATGAAATACTGGTTGGTCAATAGGATTTCCCATAATGGAGTGTGAGAATCCCCGATGTATTGGATAGTATAATCCCCAAAATAATCATCAACCCAGCATCATTTGTCAATTACTTCTCTATAGGTTTGATACTTGAAACCACATAAGACCGTATAGTTGAGTGTTCAATACGAATCAAACCCCTTTTTTTCTTATCATCAACCATCATTTCTCAATTATGTCCCCATATGTCTAACTATATTCCGGGTTTTTAATGATGCTATATGATCTGGGTAAATTATGGTATATCCAAATATTCTTGGTTTCAAAAAGCTTAAATATTGGATATCCCATGGTATAAATATTATCCAAATATTATTGGTATATCCCAATATCTGGGTAAATCATCATATTTCACTCACCTGAATAGTTCGGCCATTTGGGGATGATTCCATATGATTCCCCTGACAAAAACCATGATTCTTTTCGGTTTCGGTCGCGACGTGAGGTCGTTATGTTTTTTTACCCAGATGATCCATTAACAAATTAACATTCATTATATCCCATAATCTACCCATAATTATCCAGTAATTAGTAATTCTATCCATTATTATCCCATAATATCACCATGTTTACTATATGATGCTTGAATAGCTCTATAAATGATGAGACTCATCAACCGGGCCGACCCATCCAAGACCTTGTCTGTCTCTGCCCGCTGGTCCAACAGCGTCATGCCTCGGATGTCGAGATGTCGAGCAGCCGCGGCGCCCACCCGGAGTGGGACTTTGGGCTGATATCATGGGAAATGATTAATGGGAGATGGATAAACGTCATATAATACATATATATATATATTATTATATATTGTATATATATATATGTATAGTAGATGGATATTTAAATGTCGTTACCGTATAGATGGTGTGTATATATATAATTTATATATATGGTCCATCAATATGGTATATTAATAGATAATATGATATAGAACCAGTTTGATATCATATTTGGGTATGTCTGAACATGGGCTACGCCCCACATGGCCATCTTAACGGGGAAGATTTGGAGAAGTCAAAAAAATGAGGACATCATCATGGGAACACCGATATTTCACATTGATGGCAAGCATGTCAATGTATACAATTACAATTCCAAATGGGAATATTCTGGCAAACATTTTTTGTTTAAGGGGAGGGAGAGTACCATGTTGATATGCAATATTGATCAACATGGGGATATCGAAGGGGAAATTCATGAGAATATGATAGGTAATGATAGGTATCTGATTTGATAGGAAACGTTTCCTGAAAAAAAATGCACAGACCGTGCATCGGTGAAACAGCACATGAGGCTTTCCTGGAATGGGAGTACTTTTTTGCATCATCCATTTCTAGATCGGATTTTCCATGAAATCAACCATCCAGCTATTTGGATATCTCCATTTCAGGAAACCCCAATATACCAAAGTTAACCATTATAAACCACTATTAAACCACTATTAAACCACTATTAAATGGGCACGCCCAAAGAAATCCGCCGTCGAAAAAACACTAGTTCACAGCTTTCACAGTGAACTTTCTCATTGTTTTATCCTTGGGATTTTGATGATTTTGGTTTGTGAAATGGGAGATCTCGCAATTTACGGCAAAAAATTGACTGGGAATAAACAAGGCGTTTAAAACATGGGATATCCCAAAACGTATCAAAAGAAAAACTTTGGTTTCTTTGGGAAATATGCTATTCCATCCATTGGTGAATCGTCCGACATGTTCCCGGCCGCCACGGCTTGGTGATCTTGGGGATATTTAAAAGCGGGGAATAAATCCAGGTTGATACTAAAAATGGTTAAATCATGGTCCAACATAAAATAGTGATCTGATACTAATATGTATATATGTATATTATTATTATATATATATATACTGGTTGGTGGTTTCAACCTACCCCTCTGAAAAATATGAGTTCGTCCAGTTGGGATGATGAAATTCCCAATATATGGAAAAATGAAAAATGTTCCAAACCACCAACCAGTATATATATATATAGTATTCTAATGTATTCCAAACATTTCTAAACGATACTAAAAGCATCTAAAATTGTATTCTAAACCATCTTGATACCAAAGTTTTGGTTCTTTGAAGTTTTCCCATTTCCGTAACCCCTCTTTCAACTCAGACTTGGTCTTCCGACGAGTGTTCTTGTTGGCCTGAACGAACTCTTCCACCTGGCGACGGGGCGAGGCTACCGTCCTCAATTGTTCCCCCCGACCCTAAGAATAGGGTTTTATACCCAAAAGTCAGTGGGTGATATTGGTTGATAGTGGTTTATCATCATTTTTCCGATTGAAATTGCCATGAATAACGGTGTGTATTACTTTTATCGTGATTTTCCCCAGCAGTAGACTGTACTCAGATGGCAATTTTGGGGTGAACATTAACACCTTTTTCATCCTTTTTCTATCATTTCTGGATAAGTCCCAGTAGCTGGCATCCTTTTAAGTGGGATAAAATAGCATAGCACCGTTGGGCATCCAGATGCAATGAACCCACAATGGTAAACAATGGTAAACCACAGGACATTCTAACTCACTTCTTGGGGTTACAGATTAAGAAACACCTTTCAACCAAGAACCTCATGACAAAGATTCAGGACTCCACCCCCACCCTTAATAACCCCCCACGACCAAACCGGGGAAGAGATTTGCAAGTTCAAGAGTGAATAACTCAAAGTATGGTCCAAACAGAAAAAGGATGAAAAAGGGGGGTGTACAATCCACTTCTATGTTGCTTCAGCAGAGTATGTATAGCAAGAATCGGAGTACAATAGGCACCAGGTGGCAATATTGAGATGATCATCTGCTGTCCTTGTGTGAGTCAATACTAATTCTGATGGGTGGTGGGAACGCATTGGCTCGCCAACATTGGAGTTTCCCCCAATTGGGGTAACTAACCTCGCCCGAATTGTCCAACATGGCAATGGACGGATGTTCCACTGCCGTTGGTTTGATACATATTGGGGACACCGAAAAGAAAAAAAAAAAACAGCATTTCTCAGTGAAAAAATGGGACCGGCCATCGTTCCATGGGTACACTGGGTACACAAAAACAACTCCTTTCGCAGCGCGGTGTCTTTTCAGAACCGCGCTTCCAGCGCTGAAATCAAAGGCAAATCCAACTTTCGGGATGCCGCCTGTTTCATTTGGAACCTGCTCCCACTAGTTGGATATTCCAAATGGACTTTGGAGATTAGTTGAATAGTTGCACCAAAAATGTCAGCTGTTCCATCTAGTTTCCCAAACAAAGCTTCAAAAGGAAGTCTTCCAAATATCCTTAACAGTTTGCTATTGAATATGGTTCATTAACAGTTGATTTACCTATTCCAAATATTTCCAAATGGTGATTTTCCATAGCAAACTGTTAGTTTACCAGAGGGTATGGTTCTCAAATTGATCTGCTCATCTCGGCCCAGGAATTGTTGACGCTGAGACCACTAAGATTATGCTGGCCCAATGACCGCAATTCGAAAACCCTGAGACACAAAATTCAAACTTTGTGGTCAGTTTTGAACTTTCTTTAACTATGCTTCATCTATGGAAGATTCACCAACATGTACCTCAATAATGGCGCGCATGTTGGTAAATAGTCCATGCATTTTTAGCATATGGGTATCATTTTTTTGCAAACGATTTTTTAAATGCTATTTAAATATCAGGCTACAACAAACCAAGCCTTACCATTTCGGGGGTTTAAAACAGCCACTGCCAGGAAATGCAACAGGAAATGGGGGCTCCAGGTTCTCAAGTGCATTGCTGGGCTGTACCACAGTTCAGTCTTCTGGTGCAGGTTAAAGCCAGCACTCTCAAGACAAAAGAAGCAATTCTCCCGTCTCTTTGGTTGGGGGTTAGTTGTCCAACTTTTTCCGGACTTTCTATGTCCAAAAATCATGGCCGATCTTCGATACACCAAAAGAATGGCTGGTTTGCAAGAAATCCAATTTATGGTAGGAGATTGGAGTACTGAACTACCCATCCAAAGTTGACCCAAGGACTGCCAACCTCTCAAAAAGCTTTGAAGATATTGATTGATTCGGGGGTACCATATATCCCAGATAGGAGATGATAGGCAGTCGTATTGGTGATCTATGGTCATATCACCTTCCCAATCTTCCCATAAATATGGTGCTAAAATCTCAATTTTGTTGGGAGAAGCCCATGGTTTTGCTTGGTCCCAATCATGGTTTCGATCATCGATCGGCTTTGGACACAGCAGTCGACTTGGGGCCCTTGGGGCTGCAGTCGTCTCAGCCGCATTTGGTGAAGCTCACACCCACATCTGCACATTTCTGCCCCTCGTGGTTCAACCCATCGATGATGGCAGCCTCGATGACCCATGACCCGCTCGATTCTCATGCGAGTTTGGGGGTCAATCTTCACGTTGGGTCCAGCTTGGTGTCCATGGTCGAGGTTTATATCATCCAACGTTTTGTGCAGCCTGACCAGTGTATGGATTGCAACCCTCCCCAGTATATCAAGGGTACAGTAGGCCTTCTTTTTCCTAACCATTCAACCAGGGGTCAACCAGGGGTCAACCAGGGGTCAACCAGGGGTCAAATGCTCACTGCTCAATCGATAGCTCATGACCAAAAAGAACAGTCTCATACCATACAATTCCGTGGCATCCCAATTGCTTGAGTCAAGACTCCCAGAAGTCGACGGGATCTGTCCTCACATCGACTCGTCTCGTGAGATCGGTGAATTTTACTGTGGAACTGGGAGGTGTGAATCAAGAATATGTGGCGATATAGATGAAAATAAAGATTCACCAACACAAGTGGATGTTGAATGGCTTTCAGGTGCTGAAATTAAAGGTACTGATCACTTTTGGTGCATTGACCACCGACACTTTGCTTGTTCTTGGTCACTGACCAGCTTTGGCGGTGCCCATACTATGGAAAAAAACGACCTCTTGTCACTCCATACTTGAGGGTACAGTTGACTTTGTTACCTGGTATAACCATGACAATAAAGTCTATATCCATAAGATGGATTAAAATGGGATAGAACCACAAAAAAAAACTAGTTACGGTATAGATCCACTTCTAATTGGACCTGCACCCGCCAATTCTAGTGACCTTTGACGTCAAACCATGGATGATTGGAGCACCCGCTCATCCCCTGGTACCCTTCTGTTCCATCAACTTTACAACAGGATAGCACCTGTTCATGGCAGTATTCTTGACCCAAGTTGCCCAGATTTTCTCATTCCGAAATTCATTTCATTGATGGGTTTAAGATGGTTTAAGATGTCTAAGGGGAATGTTACAGGGAACCGCCGTATTTTTGGGTAAAAGCAATGGTGTCCTGTAGATTTCTTCCTTAAACCCAAATGAATGCAAAATTCTGGGGTACACAATGACTTAACATGACCCAGAACGTTCCATCATTGAAACTTTGTCTCGGATATGCGGGGGCATGTTTTTTTCGCATCCTCCGCTGTCATCAATCATGGCTAGCCCTATAAATCGGGATTTTCCATTGCCAGTAGACTCTCCAAATGGTCGATTAAAATTGCTAAAATCATGGCCAAACCTTGAAATTGAAAGAAAAACAGCTAGGTAGATACACTTGAGAGGGAAGGGTGAAAGATCGAAAGGTAGGCGTGGGTTGGAACAGGAGAAGAGAGCAAGGGAACGAGGCATATCCGCTGCGGACGGACGTGGGTGGAGTTGGGGCGGATATCGAAAAAAGTCTTCTGGGTTTGGACTCGAGGGCGGGTACCAAAAAGGTAGGTTTCAGGGAGGGGGGACACGACACACACACAGACACACAGACATATATATATATAAATACATACATATAGTTAGATATATGTATAAATATCAGGTTATGGGGTTTGCGAGGCAACGTGTAACTGGGGGCAGCACATTGTTGCAACGCGGATGGGGTTGATTCTGGTGTGTACATGTGTAGAACAGTGTGGGATTCACAAACGTGGTGTTTTGACCCCAGCATGTACCCAAAGCAACTGACTTAGGGCTATCCTGGTGCTGGAATCTTGGTGCAAAAAGTGGGCCCGCGGGGTGACTTCTTGCAACCGCGGCTTTAGAGGCGGACCTTGGGGGAATCGAAGGGGGGGGT